TAAGAGTATACTAAACTTTACTTTTATGTAGGCTACACTAACGTGACGTTTAGGTGGTTCGTTTAACTATTATACGTGATGTACGTTTTTTTCTGGGGGGGGGAGTAAAAAATGTTACAAAACGCGACATTATTTTCTTGTCGACGTAATTCTATAATTTCGGAGTGTAGATTTCAAAATTGAAAGAGTTATTTAAGTTGCAAAATCGTCGTGAGACTTTTTCTTTTATTTTTTTGATGCTAAGAACGTTGCTACGAGTATGACTTTTATTCCATATTAAGTGATTTCATTCAACGATCACGCAGAACTATATTTTAATGTAGTGTTATTGTGGTCCCTTGGGAACAACTTTTGTTTTATATTTACATTTAATCAAAATATCATTTCTTATATTATATTAGTTCACAGTAAAGGTACGGTTTCTTTATTTATTTTTACAAGCTCTTGTCAACAGCACATGTAATATATTGTCAGTAGAGAATGATGTATAATAAACCAGTAATTTCTAGCCTTTTTCACTCCACGGACCGACAATACCTTTATAAAACCCAACCTTTTCACTCCACGGATCGGCAACACCTTTATAAAAACCCAACCTTTTCACTCCACGGATCGGCAACACCTTTATAAAAACCCAACCTTTTCACTCCACGGATCGGCAACACCTTTATAAAAAACCAACCTTTTCACTCCATGGATCGGCAATACCTTTATAAAAACCCAACCTTTTCACTCCATGGACCGGCATTGCCTTTATAAAACCCAACCTTTTCACTTCACACTTTTTGGTATGGTAAGTGGAAAGTGTAAGATGGTGTATACATAACTATTTTGATTTAGAATTTTTGTCCGTTAAGGGGATAATAAACGCCCTTAAACTGGGCACATTTCAGTTTTATAGACTTTTGGCTTTGAATTTAAAGATATAGGTACTTAATTACTTATACGAGACAGTTATTACCTTTCACAAAGCAGAGTATGCAATTAAATTATATTAGCATCTAATGAAATCATTAGAGATTTAATAATAAAAGAAAGGAGGGGAACTTTACCCAACATTGCTCTAAATACAATTTTTGCTTCTTTCACGGATACCCTTTGCTATTATTTATATATATAAAAAAAACATTTGAAATGTTAGGGTTATATAGGCCTATTGTTTTATGTCATAATACAGGTTCTTCAAGAAACTTGCAACTGAAAATTATGAGCTTTTCTTGTCTTACAAGGAATTAAGAAGAAAACAATTTTCACGCGCTCCTAACACATCTTGTGAACTTATCTAGTGAAGAGAGAGAGAAAAAAAAACGTATTGTGAAATATTTTATTATCAACGTTTCTGGAGAACACAATTTGGGGTCCACTTCAGTAAACGACTTCTCATAATATTTTTACTCTTTACAGCATTTATTACAAAGATTTGTTTCTGGAATTTTGTGGTAGTGGTTTTATAATGATATCTAACCTACAGCCTGTACTTAAAATACAATAAATTGCCAGAGTATTTGGATTAATGAAATTTCAAGTACTTGATGGATATTAAGTCATGCTTTATGGTTGTTGACCAGAATGGTTCAGTTTTTATTTCTGATGCTCTTGGATAACTTGATACATTACGCTCCTTACGTTGAGACAGAAGGGCCTTCATTTTTAAGAACGATCAAACTTACTTGAAAGTGACCTTTGAAGGCTAATCACGTGTAGTGAATCTGTTCAGTTCTACTGTTCTTATCGGATAGAAGCAAGTAGTTTAACCCTAAGAATGCTACACACACACACAAAAGACATCAAATATTATTTTTATAAAGCATAATATATAGAAACAAGGTACAGTAATTTTAATAAAGTACAAGTGCATCGTCTGCATACTACTTGTGAATGTTCACTATAAACATTAATTCCACAACTGGTGCACACTGCGTATTATGCGATCATCTATGTATCTTCTGTAAATAAGATGGGATTTTTTGGATTATCCTGTTGAATTTCTAACCCAACAAGCTCTTTCCCAAGTTGAATGATAAAATGTCGGTGTTTGTGCACTTTACCCTGAAGATACTGAGATTTCAACTTCTGCCATATTATAAAAGCATCTGCTGCACAAACTTCAATTATATTGTAGAAGATAACAATGGGCCATCTTCGGGTCATTCTTTTCGAACTGTAGTATCGCACTATCGTTTCAATTCTGTCCACGCCACCTTTTGGCGGTGGTGTAAAACAAAATGGCTTCTGTTTTTTTTTCATTTATTTATTTTTCTCTGACATGTTGTCAGTTGTTGGTTGAGAGTGCATTGTCCTTAGGAAAGTTACAGTACTACCTTTTTAGGACAATATGATGAAATCGTTGAGTCAGTTTGGAATCCAAAAATAGTAGTTGCTGGTGTTCTTCCTTTCTGGTTTGTAAGCTCAGGTGGAAGCTCTGTTGGCGGAGCTAGATGGACCAAGGACTTGTCGCAAAATGTTACAGAGTGTAGTTCTTCCTGCTGCTTGGCTTGGAGGCTCAGATAGCCATACTTCATATTTGTTTTTAGAGGTAAATCGCTTAACTTTTGCATGACCACTATTGTCCACTTCAATAACTTCATCATTATCTGATACGTTAGATGGAGAAATATCAGTTATATTTCTAGTTCACCATCGTCATCAGACATACTGTCAGCTGTTTCTTGTTCTTCATCGTTTTCGTTATTCTTTTGCTCTAAGAATAGCTGTATTTTCTTATTTACAATACATCTTGGTGACATTTTAGGGCTATTGCTCGTCCTTATTAAAAAAAAAAAAAACTTTGCAAAAGCTATTTAGAGATACGAGTGTACTCAACAGTGCTCACGGAAAGGACTATCCATCTTTTTATCACCGAAAAGATGGCGTAAGAAGGCATACATTTTGCATAACATTATATATACTAGTATATATCTAAATAATATAATACCAATATATAATACTTATAAATAGTGCAAACCGATATAGAGCAGAAAATTTATTATAACGTTTACCTTATTTCTATAAGCTTTTGGGTTTATTGGACCCATATGGTATACGGTTGCAAGGTCAGTAATATTTCACAAATCAGAATTTATACTTCTGCAGAATGTAATGCTTTCATAACAGCTTGACATAGCTGGACTTTTGAGTCCAATGGACCCTGATGGTAGTCAGAGAGTTAAACGACCTTGCTTTCCTGAAACATTGTCTCACAGATTAATCTCTAACTTACAGACCCCCTCTTGTAGTTCATAGGTAAACTTAGGGTATTGTAAGGCGAAAATTAAGGGCCCTATCCTTACGCTGGGCACAACACAAATAACTCGCTGTACAACTTTGCACTTAATAACAAAGTTTCTGAATAACGTAGCCCATAATCTCTCTCTCGGCTTTCTGTTGTGTGGGGATAACGATAATTCACTGAAATCCATGGATGCAAACCCCGCCTTTTTGTAGTTTGTCATGCTTGGGAACTGCAACTTCCGTATGTTACTTCCTGTCGTACGAACGCCCTAAGTTCTGTGCTAAAGGCAGGTTCACATGTCCATTACTGCACTCTGCACAGGAAATTGATCATCTGAAAAAAAAAAAAAAAAACCCGGCGAAACTGTTATTTCTGTACATAGTCACGTTATATCCCGTATTATCTGACAAAGAATGGAACTTCCCCATTTATATAAGTATTTGTGTGTACTTTTTAATACATAAATTTGAGTTTTAATATTATTCTTAATGAGTGCGTGGACGGATTAACATAACATAGGAGCGGCAGTTGAATCACGCTGATATGAATATCAGCACAACATATTCTTGCTTGTGCATAAATTACTATTGGATCAACTCGTGTTAGACCACGTTTCTAGGCAAATTTAAATCACACCAGAAGGAAGGAGACTTACTTTCCACAAAGACATAGGTTGTCTAGTTAATTGAATGCCTTCTTTCTAGTCCTAAGTATAAATTTAGGGACGGCTGTGCGAAAAATTCTAAGCAATCGAACATATATTCTGGCTTACTGAGCTTTTCTTATAAATTAGGATTTTTTTATTGTGTTCGTTTATTTAGTGGTGTATAAGATACTTAAAGCAGATATATTACCGTAAACAGAAATGCTATGGAGAAAAATTGTCACCAAAATGGGTATATGATAGACAATAACTAAACTTATTAACTAAACAGCTCAATAAATAGTTAATATTCGAAACGAAGTTCCCTGCACGTGCACCCGCTGGTCACGTGACAAGGTATGAGTCAGGTGCTATAACGTTCGTTGTAAGTAGCGTTAGGCGTGTCATGGCCTACCAGCCCCAGCTGGATGATTCCCGTTATAACATGAACAGTGCATTTCTTCCTGCATCTGTGTAAGTTTTTTTAATAAAAAAATTACTAAATTCTACTGCTTATTTATTGTTGCATTCTCGCAGATGCCATTTTTGGTATATATATATTTTACTAGGAGAAAAATATGCTTTTAGCACAAACATGTTGAAATATAATAATTATATTCATTTACATGCAAGAAAACTGGATCAGTGATATAAACTTCCGAGGAAACAGTTTATTAAGCATTTAGAATAATTCTTGTATGAGTTATATGAAAAAAGTGAAAACAAATCCATCTGTTTTAGTTTATTCTTGTTATTGTTTCATACAGCACAGAGCAGTCAATAGCTTCAGCAAGAGCCTCAGTCATGGTGTACGATGATCTTAATCGACGGTGGCTTCCCAGTGGGTCATCCAGTGGACTTTCTAAAGTTCATATTTATCAACATATTGTCAACAATACTTTTCGAGTTGTTGGACGAAAGCTACAGGACCATGAAGTAAGTGTTCTTGTGTATTGATTGAACCGGGGATATAATTTATTTTCAGAATAGACAGATATCGGAGAGTAAACGCATGACAGGGGAGTCTGGGGAGGCTCTACTCCAATGGGGGCAGTGATGTTGGAGGAGAACCAGCTTTGGTGTTTTTGCATTCTGCCAGGTGAAAAAAAATATGGTTTGAAGTGGCAGGTTATCTCTGTTTATAAAAGAAATAAAAAACAAGTAATTTTGACTCATGCAAATTTTTCAGTAAAACCAAAACCAGAAAGTCTGACACTGAACTCAATGGCATTCAAGTTCAAAATGCACCTCCTTGGTCCCAGCCTTACAGAAACGATAGTTATCAAAATGCAAATGATTAACTTGCCACTTCCTCAGACCCCAGCCCCAGTTTTAAGAAGAGATAGTTACCAAACTGTGGTTGATGAATTTGCCACCTCCTCAGACCACACTTTCAGTCTCATTCTTAGGAAAGGATAGTTGTCAGAACCTGGTTGATTAATTTGCCACCTCCTCAGACCACACTTTCAGTCTCATTCTTAGGAAAGGATAGTTGTCAGAACCTGGTTGTTTAATTTGCCACCTCCTCAAATTCTCACCCTCAATTACAGTCTTGAGAAGATATAGTTATCAAAACCTGATTTATTAAGTGAAAGTTCATGGGGTGGGTTGGACCAACCACGAATTGAAGAAGTAATGTTGACCATAATTCTGAATTTACAAATTCTATCTTCACGAAATATGGAAAGCTTTTAGTAAACAGTACAAATCTGTTGTACACATAAAATCAGATGTGTTAACAAAGTTTTTGGTCTAAAGATATTTCTGTGAAATGCCAAAGTCAGTCTAACTAAGACTTTGACAAGGTGTAAGGTGATGTTCATTTGAAGAATAAAAATACTTTTGTTCTTTGTACAGTTTGCATATTGCAGTTGTATAGCCTCTACAACCTCCTAAACACATATCTACTGCTTTTTGAAGTATACTATACACTGCATCTGGTATTTTCTCTACTCTAACACCAATTTTTGCAAAGTCAGCATGAAAAGTTAATAGTGCTGACATCAAATTTATACTACCAGGTTGAATAATACTGTTTACAATATTTGGGAATGTAGACTTTGATCCACATCTGTGCACATAAGGTTGTTTTGCCACAGTAATATAGTACTTCTGCTCAGTACCCATTATCAATCTCAGTCCTAGAATAAATAATTACTTAAATCTGGTTGATTAATTTACCAATTCCTCAAAACCCCACTTTTAATACCTATTCTAGGACATAGTTACTAGACCTGTTTGATTAATATGCCACCTCCTTAAAACTTACCAGTGTCAGTCCTAGGAAAAGATACTTAAATTTTGTTGATTAATTTTCCACTTCCTCAGACCCTACCCTCAATCCCAGTTGTAGGAAAAAATAGTTATCAGAACATGTTTTATTAGTTCACAGCTGGTCAGATGATAAGTGTCTGTTTATATTCACTGATTAAACTTATTCTGATTATAGATGATATTAAATGCTTCATCAAATACTTCACCCCATCTCATTATTATTCTAGTAAAGGAAAAAGTCAAATTAAATAAAATCTGTAGATTAAAAAAAAAAAGTTATTTTCCTTCAACGACCAACTTTAATTTGGGATTTCAAGTAATCTGTCACTGTGCAAAGATGTCTGACTGCATTGAAACTTTATTTCCAAACTAGCTGGAGTACCTGTCTCCTGGATGGAAGTTATGTAAATTCATGATTAATAAAAATTATCTTAGGACATGAAAAGCTGCTTCCCTTATATGTAATTGTAAAAAATGCAAACATGCCTATAAAAACTGCAAAACACAAAATGTGAAACTGCAACTTTGCATGTATCTCTGCATGGATTCAACAAACCTTCATGCCAAATGTAGTAAAGATCCATCCATCAACAGGGGGCAGAGTAGTGGTAAAAATGCAAAAACACCCATAAAAAACTGGACCTAATGAACCTTCATACCAATTTTGGTGAAGATCCTTCCACACCCTGCGAAGTAGTTACATGGACATACAACATAAAATAGACAATACTGTTATATTTATATAGATGCTTGTTTCTGATTTTGTCTGAAACTGCAGAAGATATCCATCTAGAGCAAGACCAAGAAATAGACTTTATATATAAAGGTTAGCAATGCTTGGCTTGATTAGAATTTGGTTACACTTTACTCTGTGAGCAGTTGGTTATTGGGTGTGTGTGCGTGCGTATGTGTTTTTGTTGTTTTGTTAGTTAAATAAATTCTTCTGGCTACTGATTAGTAAGTACAGTAACAACATGTAACCTTTGATGTTTATACAATTCAAATAAGTAAATATTGAAGTAAGTGTTCCTTAGTAGGGCTATTAATGTTTGGAAGCTCAGAAAAAACAGTTTGTTGAAAATGGAGGAAACTTTCTAAAAAACCTGATAAGTTAGAAACAGATAAATACTTGCAACAGTGTCCTAGTAAAGTCAATTAGTAACAGAAAGAACTTATATTTGTATTTGCACCTGTGTTTGATGTATTTGAATTTTCAGGCTATGCTAGTAAGCTTTTTTGTGTAATTGATTTTTATTTGATAAAACATAGTGTGTTAAAATTTTTTGTTAAAGTTTTTGCTAATTTATTTTTCAGGTGGTAATCAATTGTGCCATTCTAAAAGGCTTGAAGTACAACCAGGCAACTCCAACTTTTCACCAGTGGAGAGATAACCGTCAAGTTTATGGTCTCAACTTCAGCAGCAAAGATGATGCTCATGCATTTGCAGTAGCCATGGTTAAGGTTTTGGAAATTCTGGACCAGAATAGTAAGTTCACAACTTTGGAAGTTCTGGACCACATTAGTGAGTTTAGAACTTTGGAAGTTCTAGGCCAGAATAGTGAGTTTAGAACTTTGGAAGTTCTGGACCAGAATAGTGAGTTCACAACTTTGGAAGTTTTGGACCAGAATAGTGAGTTTAGAACTTTGGAAGTTCTGGACCAGAATAGTGAGTTTAGAACTTTGGAAGTTCTGGACCAGAATAGTGAGTTTAGAACTTTGGAAGTTCTGGGCTAAAATAGTGAGTTTATTTTGGTTAATCTTTTCCTTTCATGCAATTCATACTTAAATTCTTGTTCATAATTGTGAATTTATTACAGTAACACTAACCAGTATATCACTGTTGATTCCTCTATGTATAAGGTTCTGGAGAATCTGTTGTTTTGTTTTCTTGAGGTTATTGTTCTCTAATTTTCTATGAAAGATAGCTTTCACCAAAAAAAAAAGGAAGGTTTGAAAATAATAATAAAAAAACACACACTCACAAAAGAGCACTTTTTTCTTTCACCACAAACTGGTAAAGAAAATGTCCAGCTAAGGTAAGTTTATCTGAAAAAATAGTTTTCCATATAACTTAAGGTGTGTTAGAGGATAACTTGCTCCTGTCAGATGAAACAAGGTTGTGTTTTGTTACATTTTTTAAAGAAGTTAGGTTATTGTAAAGCCCTAGTTCTTTAAAGAAGTTAGATGACTGGCTTTAGTACACTGAGATGGTCTAAGTACGGCTGTAAAGCAATAAAGTTAAATGAACTGTGATTTGAAAAGTCTGTTAGCTTTGGCTATAATAGTAAATAGAGTGTAATTTCCTGTATGATATGCAGCTGTTCTAGAAAGAACAAAGAAGGTAATTTGGACTTGTTTTATAGTGTCCAACTTTTTATTTGATGCTACAATGCTGATTCCTTCACAGTTAATGTTAGGGTAGAGAAAATAAAGTATAAAGTTTTACCAGAAAAAAATTGATATTCGTTTAGGAGGTTCCAATAGTTATGCAAATGAAATGTGAAAGCAGTAAGATGAAAGGAAGTATTTTATTCTTAACATGAAAATCACCTTTCATTCAGAGTGATTCTCTAAAGGCATTGCAAATTCACAGGCAAAGCTTTAGTGTAAATACTTTATTCCAGAATCTGTTTTTTTTGTTGTTTTTTTGTACAACAGACTTGTAATATTTACTAAATGCATGCTACATTTTCTGAATAATTTTTAGTACATTCAGAGCTATAGTATGTATAGTTACATGGTAGTTACAAGGCCTGTAAAAAATATTGAGCCCAATTTGATAGAGTTAAGATCAGAATTTTGACAAATGCTTGAGATAATGTTGATCACTCTTCTGAAAGAACTGTTTTGAGGACATCTTTAGTATCTGGAACTATTTGAAAACATCCCATACATAATTGTTGGGATTAAAGTCTGATGATAATGCCAACATCTCCATTTCCAATCTCCCTTTTTTTTTTCAAGATATGTTGACCATATTTGATGGTGGAAACAGATAGTTATCCTTCAGGCTAATTTCATCAGTATGTGGCAGCAGAGATGGTTTTATGATGTAGTCTATATACTATATGTCATTATTGGCATAGGATGTAAAGTCAGTATACTCATCATATTCCTACCCACTTCCATAGTTACCATATATATTTATTAAATTCCCATATTTTAATAGAGTTGAACCTGGTTTTATGTACACTCAAAATGAGCAGACATTTGTTTTCAAGCTTCAGGGGAAGTATAACTTGTATAGGTTCATTGTATGTCCATGATAATATTGCTGTAAGTGCAGTTTATTTCATTGAGCTTTTAACGTACATTTCATTTTTGGGTAGAATGTGTTTGATTGTCTATACATGATATGGCTGTCTATACATGATATGGCATCCATTTGAGGATGCAAACATGTGATTCAGTCTTGTAGTAGGTATTCTGTGATAGTTGAAAGTCAGAATTGATGGGTAGCAGTTAGCTGCATATGTTATGATAGGACTGGAAGTGGTATCACAGTCCGTCAACGACATTTTGAAATACTTCTAGTGATTGATTGGTTTCCTTTCATTCTTAAGGTCTACCCATGGTTTATGAACAAGTTGGAGCACTATAGTTTACAAGTGAAACAAGATTATGAGAAAACACTGTGTACAATAAAGATCTGAGTGATAAGTGAGATCACTTTATACAGTATAGGCTGAATGACCATTGAGACCACAATATACAGTATACGCTGAATGACCAGTGAGACCACTGTATACAGTCATGATGTTAGAAAAACACGTAGATTCAAGAAATAAAATTCACACAAAGATATGATACTCTATAACTGGAACACTTTCGAATAATGCATCTTTCTTCTTCAGGGGCAAACTGAGAATGATTGTATAAAGCAAAGTGTAAGATAAAATGAAGTTTGAGTGATGTAATGCAGGCCACCATGGAAATTTGGAAGTTTTTTGAGTGGCTTTCAATGTATTGTTTTAAATGTTTCTCATTTCTGGTGCAATACTACCAGAAATAAGAATGTTAGATATAAAGAAGCTAGAGATATATTGTTTCAAAAAAGAAAAATGATCAAAAGAAACTACATCAAGTATTGATAAATTAAAATAAAGGTGAGATATGGAGATTAGTTAAAAAAAAAAGAAAGAAATGTTAAGCAGATATATTTAAAAAAATAACATGGAAGATATCATAAATATATAATAGGTACTAGAAAGATTAGGGGTAAAAATTGAGAATTCACACAACATGGATGAAAAACTTTATTTTTCTGACATAGAACAAACTAATAATCATAAATCACTTATTCCAGGACCTAGATTGATTCTAATAGGTTGAAAAGTATTTATACTTGTAATCCAATAGGTTTCTCGTATTTCTCTATTGGCTTTAGTTTTTAAATTGGTTTCAGTATTGATAAGAGTTACATCAGTAATAGAATGACCAGGTTGGTTAAAGTGCTGGGTAATAGGGATGTCTTTTTCAGTGTTAATAGAATATTTAGGGCTATTGAAATGCTCTCTAAGAGTCGTTTGGGTCTGTCCTACATGCTGGTGATTGCATTTTTTGCACTGTTTGAGGTTAATGGTATTTGGTGCTGTGCAAGTCATTTCTTTAGAAACATATTTCTGTGGTGAGATGTAATCCCTCTTGCATGTACAAGGATGTCTTTAAAACTTCTGCTCTTCTGGAAGGAGATGATGGGAATTTCAGGAAATATTTGTCTAAGTTGATCATTCAGTTGTAGTAGATGAAAATTGTTTTTCAGAATGTGGGAAATGTTTCTTAGTTTAAAGTGATAGGTTATAACAATAGGAACTCTGTTTGAATTCTTTATTGGTATCTTTATATCCTCTTTTTAACATGGTTTGTTTCAGAACCTTGTTGTGTTTTCTGTAATTTGTTTCACCTGAACAGATTTTCTTTATTTGGAGAGCTTGACTATAGGTAATATTCCATTCAGTTTGGGTGAAGTGACAGCTTTTATAGTGAAGATATTATGGTCTGTTATTATGTTTTCTGTACAAGTCATTGTTTAATATTCTGTCTTTTAAAAAGACAGTGATATTGAGAAAGTTGATTTGAGTTGGGGAGTAATTGAGGGTAAACTTGATTGTTTTGTGAAATTTATTGCCATAAGAAATAAAAGTCTTTAAGTGATTCATAACCAGCTGTCCAAATGAATAATATGTCATCTATGTAATGTTTTCATGTATGAGGTTTTACGGGGTTTTATTCTAAAAGCTAGCTTTCAATATGCCCCATAAATATATTAGTGCAGTTAGGAGCTGTTTTTTGTATCCATTGCAGTACTGTTAACCTGAAGATAATTTACATTACTTAATTTGAAGTTGTTTAACTGCTGTTTAAGACTCTGATGGGTTAAAAAGGATTATGGCAGATTTCAGAATTTCTAGTCCTTCATAATGTGGAATATTAGTGTAAAGGGAAGAAATGTCCAATGTTCATAGAAGGCTGCTAGGCAGTAAATGTCCATTGTTCACAGAAGGCTGTTAGGTTGTAAATGTCCATTGGTATTGATTTCCTCTATGACATTAAGAAAGTGAGTTGTGTCCTTTATGTAAGAAGGAAGAGTACAAGGAATATTTTTTATGTGGTAGTCAACAAAAGCATACAGCTTCTCAGTAGCCATGTTCGTGGGTTGGCTGGAATTATTAGGTTTGTATACTTTCAATAAGAGATAAATCTACCTGGACAAACCTGTCTGGGTACCAAATGCTAGAAAGCTTTTTTGTTAATTTTCTTGTTTTGGAGAAGTTTTTTTAAATTTATCACTGATGGTTTTAGTAAACTGAGTTGTAGGGTGCTGTGTAAGTTTTTTTTTGTAGAAACTAGTGTCCTCGAGCTGGTGGTTAGTTTTAGCGATATAGTTATCTATGTAATTAGTGTTTGATTTAAGATCTTTTAGAGTAGTTCTAATTCTCTCTTTTTGGTTTAGATTATTGCAACATTGCCTGGAAAATTTTAGGCTTTGTATTATGTCATTTGTTACAGCTTTAATATAACTCTCTAAATTTGGTTCTCTGTTCAGGGGAGGTATCCAAGAAGACTTTTCTTTAAAAATCGGTGTAGGTTGATTGTCAATAGAGTGATATTTGTCAGGAAAAAATATGCTGAATGACCAGTGTATATAGTATATGCAGAATGACCAGTGAGACCACTGTATACAGTACATACTGAATGGCCGGTGAAACCACTGTATACAGTATAGACTGAATGGCCGGTGAGACCACTGTATACAGTACATGCTGAATGGTCGGTGAGACCACTGTATACAGTATAGACTGAATGGCCGGTGAGACCACTGTATACAGTGTAGACTGAATGGCTGGTAAAACCACTGTATACAGTATAGACTGAATGGCCGGTGAAACCACTGTATACAGTATAGACTGAATGGTCGGTGAGACCACTGTATACAGTATAGACTGAATGGTCGGTGAGACCACTGTATACAGTATAGACTGAATGGTCGGTGAGACCACTGTATACAGTATAGACTGAATGGTCGGTGAGACCACTGTATACAGTATAGACTGAATGGTCGGTGAAACCACTGTATACAGTATAGACTGAATGGCCGGTGAGACCACTGTATACAGTATAGACTGAATGGCCGGTGAGACCACTAGATACAGTAAATGCTGAATGGCCGGTGAGACCACTAGATACAGTATATGCTGAATGATCGGTGAGACCACAGTATACAGTATATGCTGAATGATCAGTGAGACCACTAGATAACAGTATATGCTGAATGACTAGTGAGACCATTGTATACAGTAGGTTGAATGACCAAGCATTTTAAGTTCAGAAATTCTGATCAGATGCTCAATTTACATAACAACAAATTGAGGTGGAAGATGGACTTCATGTTATAACAATACCTGTATATAGTTTTGCCCATAAAGGCATCATTAGGTATCTTGATGATGCCGGTACTTGTGAAACTATGGTCATAATAAATGAAGTGTTTGTGAAAGATACAAATGTCTTTGTTTTTCTCAGTTATGTAATCATGGAGTTTCACCATTGTTTCAAGCATTAAAAGTAAGTAGCCATAATATTACAAATTCAGATTATCCCATAAACATTGTGCATAGAGTACAATTAAAAATAGTGTTGATTGTTTTTACAGCATGGTTGTGTCAACAGTTATTAGTTTGAAGAAAGGTTTTAAAGAGATGTCTGATTTGAACATTATAGAACTAAGATTCCATAAACCTGTAGTTATCAAATGTTGATGTGTCTATTGTGTTTTTAGATTCCACACTTCCAAGGCCTTCTCAACCACCAGTAGTGCCTCAACATTATCAGCAACAACAGCCAATTTATCAACAGCAGCCTATTTATCAACAGCAACAACAAAAACCCATTTATCAGGTTCAGCAGCAGCAACAGCAACCAGTCTACCAACAAATAGGCCAACCAATGCACAATGACACTGTAGAAACACGTGGCAGGTATGTCGCTTTTTGTAACACAATAAAAAATGATGCGTGTGTGAAAAGCTTGCTTCAGATAACATGTAATACTTTCTTGCAATTTGTATGAAAAAAAATTGGTAAATATCTAAAGTGTGAACTCTGGAAATACTCAGAGGATAAACATTTAACTTGTATGAAATATTTATTTGAAACAAAAAATGTTCATTAGAAAATTTTTCTTTTTCTTGAATGAAGACATTTGTTTCAAACATGAAATGTATTCTACTTATGTCATTTTCAGAACAAGAGAAGACTCAGGAGGAGAGAGAAGACAATCTGCTGTTCAGTATGCTACAAGTACAGGCATGTGTTTACTTATTTTCGTTTCTTTTATGTGTACACTCTTTAGTGTGTAGTGGAAAGAATAGTCAAATTCTAATCTGGTGTGAAAAGTTTTGAGTCACCAACTTTAGACATTTCATAAAGAAAAGTAATTTTTGGAAGAAAAATTCAGACATTACAGATATTAACTAAGATTATTCATGTTTAATATTAAATAAGAATGTAGTTGGAAGACCAAGAATTGTATTAGTGATGAATACTGTAAGTTATTTAATTCATAATTCAATGGGAGACTGTAGTGTCTTGTAATGGTGAGATATATATGTGATATTAGTATACATTTGAAAATGATGTACGCAATACGTTGAAATTGGTCGGGTAATTAGTTATATATTTGTAAATTGATTTCAGTTTGTATTTTTTACTTTATTTATGTCGTAAAAAGCTGTTTCTCCTAATATAATTTATATGACCCTCGTAATGGTGAAATATAGTTCTAATACTATTAGTTACATTAATTGTTAATAGCTGATTAAATCAGTTTAGATAAACGACCTTTACACTAGAGACGTATATATATTTGTTTTTTATTACTAGCAATGTTTTGCTTTTACAGCTTCTTC